GAATAACGTTCGATACATAACGAACTACCACTACGGGTTTTGCACTACTAAATACTGTGAATATGTACATTAATTATGTGACCGTCTACGTTTCCTGTAGTTATTGAATTGCTCTTTTTACCGAGCTGTTAGTGTACAGTTTAATTTTTGTTCTGCTGTTTTTATTGTAATTGTGTAACTCTGGCAGAACGATTTCCTTCGGGTTAAATAAAGTCCTATCTTACCTTATCCACTTTGCGTGCTAAGATCATTTTGATTCAACTCTCTTTTATGTGTTTCTCCATCCTTCAGGTTAAATACAGGCAGAAGTACATCAACTCTCTGGGAACCTGGAAGTCTATCCCCGACCGCCCTGAGTTCTTCTACAGCAAGATAGCCAACGACAACGTCAGCAGCGTGAGTGATCGTGACTTGCTTTCCAAATAATTTACTCACAGCATCAAGATTCAGAATTAGAAACAGGTTTATTATCAGGTCGGTTTACACGTACGAGGAATTTGACTTGGTGTCGTGGTGCATACATACAAGTCCAACAAAAATAAAAAAACACAGATAGAGATCTATTACAAGAAAACTATAATAACATTAAAACATATTACAAACACTAAGAAATATAGCAGTATTTACATAATAAAACAAAAATAAATAATAAAATAAACTAATAAATAAATCATAAATAAACAAACAAATACATAAATAAATAAATAATTAATAAATTAAATAAATAAATAGTTGAATAAATAAACAAACAAATAATTAATCAAACAAATACATAAATAATTAATTAATTAAATAAATAAATAGTTGAATAAATAAATAAACAAACAAATAATTAATCAAATAAATAAATACATAAACACATAAATAAATACATAAATAAATACATAAATAAATAAATACATAAATACATAAATAAATGAAATTGAATAAAATATGTATTGCAATTTGGCAGTAATAATAAAAAGAAAACAGATATTGTGTACATTGTGAGTGTCATCCTTTTTTTAAATTTTTAAACAATATCTTTATTGAGTTTTTCATTTTTTACAAACAATGACATCCTCAAATACACATATTAACAATGAGTGAATAAGACATGTACAAATGAGTTCAATCCATGTATAATATACAACATTTAACTTATTAATGCGTAACCAGCCAAAACACAAAGACTAGAACAAATGTAATAAAATAACTATCAATTATAAAAATCAAATGCCTTTAAAGACACACATAAAAACACTCAGCAATACAACCATTTCCAAGCAGCTATTTACTTTGGCTTTCGAGAAACTTCCTGTCATACTTTGTAATAATTGTATTTAATCTGTTTTTTCACATCGTCCTCTTCAGGTGAAGTACAAGGAGGACCTGGAGTGGCTGAGGGGCGTCGGCTGCTACGTTTGGGACACACCTGAGCTGGTGACCGCCGAGAAGAACAAGACGCTGTACAGTGGGGTAAAGGATCTGACTATTTCATTATTGATATAATGTTTTTACAATCAAAGTCAGAAGGTCTTTATTGTCATTATACTTGTGTGCAATGACGTACCACAGGATTCTCTCCTGGCAGTTTACACTAGAAAGAAATGGGAATAAAAAAAGTAACAACATCAAAGACAAAACACTAAAATACAAGGCAGTAGTTCAATTTAATTTACGAGATTTGCAAAAAAACAATTATATGATATGTTATTGTTTTGCATTAGATTAAAGTATATCATATTAAATCATATTATATAATATTGTTATTATTTTAATGTGTGTTTTTACATTTTATTTGTTTTTACAAGACAAGTGCAAGTATATCATATTATTTTAAATTACAATATTTATTATTATAGATTGTTATTACATTATATTATTTAATTATATATACTATTATATGAATTTTGCAGTCTTTTAGG